CCTGTAGGGGCTCAGACACTGCCCCATCTCCCCAACCTTTCTCCCCGTCCTCTTCCCTGAAGGAGCTTCGGGAGAAAACAGTGATGGAGGAGGCACTGGGAGGAGGCAGTTGTGTTGGAGGAGCGGGGGGTTGCTTGGAGATGGGGATGGCGGAGTGGGACGTTCCGTTGGTGTTTGACTCTCAGCTGGCCAGATTACGCCCAGGCTGGAGCCCCCAGGAAGTTCGCCTGCCCCCGGCCCCAGGCTCGGACTTACAACACCCACCCCCCTCCACACGCACACACTCGCTGAGGTTTTTCGCATGGCGACACTTGTAGCCATTCAGGAGAGAGGCCGGGGCTCCCAGACTGGTTCAGCCCCCGCGGCAACGGCAGCAGCAGTAGCAGCAGGCACTGCAGAAGCTGCGCCCGCACACCACGCTGCCACCCAGTGGTTTTTGCTGACTTTTCATTTCAGATCCGTTTGTGCGATCCAAACCCCGTTTTCCCTCTGCGCCCCCTCATCATTTTGTTCGGGTTTGGGATCCAGGCAAAGCGCTTGGGTCGTGTACCAATAAATTTGCGAAATGCAGAGCTGAGCCTCTTTATTTAAGCTCTGGACCGTCTCCAATCTCTTCTCTTTTTTTTCCTGCGCCTCAAGCTCAGGCAGCCTGCCTCCCTCCAATTCAGGGACTAAGTCTGCTTGTTTGCTGGCTTCACTCAATTAACAAGTTCTGTCCCTTCCTTGTTCTATATTTTAGTTTGGAGGAGAAGAAAGAAGGAGTTTTGAGGGCAAGAAGGTAACAAAGAGAATAGGCCATCCACATCCCTCCCTTGAAATAGACAGGATTGTTTTACTATTTTACTCGATTTCTGATGTCAGAAAAGAAGCCCCCCAATCGCAGGGCTACACTGTCTTGGAGTTACCACGACGCTCTCTTTACTGGACCTCCACCCCCTTTTGGATCTTTTCAGAATTGATGTAGATGCAAAACCAAATGCCAGACTCCAGTCCTCTTCTGAGCTCTTTTGCCTGAGCTCCCAACTAAGAAACTGAAATCTTCCAGGCTTCTAAGCCCTTCAGAGCTCAATCACCTGAACCTTCTGTCGATTTCATTGCTCTACCAGAGAAGCTGCCGCCAGTTCCCTTCCACTTTTCCCCAGTCTTGAAGTGTCTCTTGCCCTAGAAGTGCCCCAGAAGCACTATTATGTGTCTGCAAAGGTGGGCTGGGGTGAAGGCTGCAGGGACTGAGATGGCTAGATAGAGGAGAATGATGCTGAATGGTCTGAGGTTGCCTGCAGGTCAGCCTACTGCTTCTTTGTGCTCTGCGCTTTCCCAAAAGAAAAGGGAGGACAAGGGAGAAGTGTTCTAGCACCTTGAGTCCATTGAATTATCTTCAGACTTTAATTCACGGAGGGAAAACCCTGGTCTGCCCCCTGCTGGACATTGAACGCCTTAAAAATTGGGACTGGATCTTGGTTACCACTATATTCCTGACACATAGTTTATGCTCAATAAAAGTTTGTTGCAAATAATTGACAAGTGACTGATTGATATTGATTCTGAAGGGTAGGAAGATGTTTCCTGGCTCAGAGAGTATGCAATTCAAATTCCAAGTACCATGAAGGGAGGTAATCTCACCAAAAGAGGGGTCAGGAGAAGCTCTGACCAGGACCAAATATGTGGGGTGTGGGATGGACAGTTAACAGATTCTTACTGTGAATGTTTTTACCTTGTGCTGCGTACCAGCTCCAAGGGCCTCCCCCCACCCCTTGCTTCTCTCTTGGGACCCTGAACCAAAGCAGGCATGACCAAGCTAAAGAAGGATGAGCTCTGATTCAGGCAAGGGACAGAACTTGGGAAGAGTGAGGGAATGGTACTGAGAAAATGAGGAGGGCTTTCCTATGCGCTTTCCTCCACTTCTCCACAGGGAGAGCACTCACTGCTCGTGCAAACACCATTCACAAGGCACATTCAGGATGCCTGGAGATTACCGGTGTGGCCACTCTGAAGAGGGTATTTGAGGGAAACAGACGCGGAGAAGACTTCCGGAATATATAATGAAGAGGAGGGGCACATCACTACAAAGTCGCAAACACAGACATGTAAATACATCAGCCCTGTTACTAATCCCTACCCACACCCCAGGGGTTTGGGGGTTTGGGGGTTTTTTTGTTTTGTTTTTTTAATAAATTAGAGAATTAAACTATGCCATGAGCTCCTGGAACCACTCTGTCAAAGCTGATAATTGATGATTCTATGGGTGTTTATAGACATCTTTCTTGCTCTAACTGCCCTGTACCAATTACATTTTATAATCTTGAAAAATGAGAGGTATAGGGGGAACCAGACTCTCTCCCTGCCACATGTTCCTGCCAGCCCATAAAATGTGCTTCTGCCTATTTATACTCCACCTTTATTCGTTCATCTCCATGGACATGTGATGGGTGAGACCAGAGATAGGGGCCTGGAACTCTGTGATCTGTCTGCCTACAGACCACGTGCGTTCTCCTCTCTCCTCCAGTGAGAGAACTCACAGAAGCCTGTCACTGGAGGGAGATCATCAGGGCGGGATAGTGAAGAAAAGCCATTTTGACTTTGGGTCCAAATCGTATTGTGTGATCATTAATTAATTTTTAATTAAACAGATATTTTCATCCTTTCCTAACTCTCATGTGCATTTCTCAGGAGCTTCCAAACACAGAAAAGAGCATGAATATAACTGTACCAAAACCCCGTTCATCTTAGGAGCGCATAATGAGAGAAAGACTTGCAGCCCACCATAGGGAAGCATATTTCGCCTACCCAAGACCAGTAGCATGGCTGGCATTTTAGTGGGAGGATGAATAAAGAACTTTCCTTTGACACTCATTTCCAGCATGCCTTTTTCTCCTGTCCTGCTGTGCTCCTACCAGTTCACACTGCATCCTTGCTATGGAATTTCCTGGATCTCCTGCAGATTCATAGTTTCAATTCTTCCTGCTTAACTCCAGGGCTCCCAGCTGCTCTCTGCTGGGTGGGCTTAAGTCGCCTCGGCTCTTCCCAGACCTCCTCCCCTCACTGCACTGTCCAGCAAGCTCTCTCCTTCATCAGATTCAGGAAGAAAGCATCCTTAGCGCCTTTCTCCAGCTCGGCTCATCAAGAGTTCTAGCCTCGGTGACAGGAGGCATACGTTTTAATCCTGTCTCTACCACGAACTGGCTGTGTGACCTTGGTCATGTCATTTCTCCTGTTGGGAGTCTAGTTTCCCCATCTTTAAAGTCATCCTTGAGACACAATTAATGGCTTTCAAATCGTATTCTGCAGAGCCCGAAGAGTACACGGAGGTGATGGCAGTTTCACCTCGCCCATGTTTCAACCATAGCACTTCTGCTTTCCTCTCTTTTATACAGTGGGACTTACTGTGTGATTTCTTATGGAAAAATAAAAATAAAGAGATTCCACTGCTAAAAATGAAACATTG